AATTGGTGTTGCTCTTGTCCACTCCCCGTACCCTGCTGCACCCCCTTCATGGGTTCAAATGAGCACTTGTTTTTGAAGTGTCCAATTCTACCACATCGATAACAGAAGTCTTGTAATCTTTCGTATCGAAACTTTATCCAGGTATCATTATTATTATCTCTTGGAAGGCAACACCCAATGGTTAGAGGGTTTGAGGTATTGACAGATACCTTAACCCTCAGGAATCCTCGAGCTTTCGCTGGGTCTTCAAGCTCCTAAAACTCCCTATTTTTTGTTGCCAGATGCCTAAAATTTTCTTCCGAGTTAAGGTATAGCGGGACACCCCTAATTTGTACCCAAAAAGACACTACTTTTGTCTTAACTTCCTCCAGTGCTAGCTCATGTGGCCATCTTTTAACATAAAAATTATGTTTCATGACTATCCATGGCACCTAATTTAGAATTTTTGCAGTAGTACTTTCATCTTGTGCAGTGATAATAAAGGTGTTGTCCCTGACCCACTTTAATTCTATCTCCCCCATTTTTTTCCAATAGGATCTAAGAATATTCATAACCCCCCATTTGTTAAGGGTTTTGTTAACCAACGTTGTGCCCATTAGCTTGACCCCTTACTCCATTGTTGACAAATCCATAGTCCTCTCTAAGTGGACCACCAATTCCTCCATCTCTACACCTACCATTTGTCTCTGGGTATAAGCTACTACACGGACAGCTTGAACAGACGTGTACGAAAGGTAGACAATGGAGGCTCTACCATGATTACCACTTTGTTTTTTGCCCTCTCTCCTTCGCACCTCACAGCTTTTTAGATCCAGTTGTTAGTACAGAAGGACCACAAAGATAAAAGGAGGTTGTGTAATTCTATTGAATCTGGATCTGAAACATAACTTACCATTAATGCCCGATCTCATGGTAGCTAAGAAGTTCACCTTTACAATTGACAACATGAGTGGTTGAAGGTATTTATGTCTCATCCTTTTGCCATAGTCTGGTTAAAGGTATTTATGTTTATTCATTTTTCCATAGATTCCAGATATGCTAGCACCTCTAGGATTTCCTTCTCATTTATCTCTGATAAGTTGGGTTTTGACCTATTTTCTACCTACCATCCCTGTAGACAAGACCCTTCATGCTTAAGATCTGAGCGGGAATGAGGGATTGACTTGAAAGGTGTTAGGGATTTGGAGTAAATGTGCACACAAGGGATCAGAGGTTTAGGAATTTTGAAGAAGGGGATCTGAAATTATGAGAGGAAATGTGTGGTTAGATGGACTTGAAAGCGCAACCTTAAAAGCTCCTACAGATTTTGGTGATAGGGGCTCCTCGATGGCTCTCACGGAGGAGAGAAATATTCTCACGGTGGAGGGGCTCTCACTGAAGAGAGAAAAAAAGCTCATCCTGATAAGACTTTCCCTAGAGTGCGTCTGTTTGTCACACACATTTGATCACTCTGTAACTAAAAAGAGAAGATATTAGGTCTGAGATGAGAGGTCTTAGGTTGAAAAAATTCGAACCAAATTATTATGGTTACTCTATTGTGAGGCTTAGCAAGTTAGTCCACTCTCCCACTTCTTAATGTAAAAAATATCTTATGTATTAAAGGATTGTACGTGGAAGCCGAAGATTACCCAAAAAGCACAATCATGCTAGCATGTGAAACACACAACGTTGAAGCAGATAGCGTTTTATTCAGTGACGAAAAATAATGATACTTGTACACTCTAATGCAGGTTAGATCCAATCGATCTTCGTTCCCCTTAATAGTTAATAATTTAGACAATTAATACCGTCGTTTTGTTATAAAAAAAAAAAAAAAAAAAAAAAAAAAAAAAAAAAGCCCGCAACGTAGAAATTCAAATATGTTTTGCTTCTAGCTTGTTTCCCTTTCTCCTACAAACATACCACTTCCAAATTGGATCTTTCCAATTTTGTACGAATCCCTTTGACCACATTGATGCATCTTTACTATAATATCAATTTTATAAACCATGTTCTAAATCCGCATGTAGTTCTGGACTCTGCACAGGAAAATATGAGTCCTCATTATTTAAAGTTGAAATTGATCCAAGTATTGCTACACATGACTATTTTTAAGGAATGTCATCCTTTTTTTTTAAATGCTGATTTATTGCAATAACAAAAAATAATTATATTAATACATCAAGGTGTTGATTTAAATCTCGTCTTGTTCTCTAACAATTAACTATTTTACTTAGAAGTAAATAACAAGGTTTTAATCTTTAAATAAATGACATGGTGTAATTTATTTTCTTCTGATTGCTTAATAACGAGATGAGAGATTCTCTAATGTACTAGAAATATGACATGATGTATTAAGTATTATAATATAAGTGAGAAGAGAAACTTTTCTTTGTTGACTTCCTTGATGACATCACGTCGTGCGTAATGCTTGCATGTCAACCATATTTTGACATGAAGTGATTGATACTGGTGAAAGTCTTGCCTTTACCGGCCGTCCTCATACCTCGTGTTGTTCTCCCTTCACTAACAAACCCTACCAATTTGAATATTGCATGCATTGAAAATTCTCGGCATTTAATACGGGGAGAAGTCGAATTTTGACTAGGGAAATTCAAAAAGATAACGGTTTAGCTTAAACAACGCATTTTTAGTATTTTTCGAGAGAATCTTGCAACGAAAATTTCAACCGTTGAATCTTTACTCAATAATTAAATACTAAATATTTGCTCTCTGAAATACTTGTGAAATTATCACTTTTTAGTATGTCATCGATATATGATCAATATAACATTAATTTTTAATTTCTAGTGTGTTGATATAATAGTTATATCGTCGATATTTAATTTTGATCATTTTAACAAGCATTGACTAAAATTAAACCATTCCAACCAAAGCTCATAGTTAAAATAACATATAATGCGTCATTCAGTACAACGATCTAGTGATATTTTTTTTCATTTGTAAATAAGAAATTTTAATTTCGAATTTCGTTTTACTAAAAAAAAACATACAAATACGCTGTTGTGGGACCCTTGAGTTACCCTCAATTTGCTGCGCCTACTATCCAGTATTGATTGGACTGCTATTTAGTAAATTAGGTTTTCAGATCTAACACGTGCTGTTAGACTATTCATTATCCTTGACCAATTTGTAGCTCCTACGATCCTTTAGGTATCCATTTTCTTTCAAAACTAAAAGTCAAAATATATTTTAAATTGTTTTCATTTTCAGGATTTTGTTTTGTTTTATTTTTCTATTTCGTCCTCTCTCTTGGTACCATTCTTCATCTCTTCTTTTCTCACATCTCAACCACGAAAACTAAAAATCAACCAACAAAAATGAAATGGTTATAAATGAAATGGACCTAAGAGGACGGTAGGAGCAACAAATTGGTCAAGGATAATGAATAGTCTAACAGCATGTGTTAGATCTGAAAACTTATCCAAACCAAACTTGTATTTATGGTATGAAGCAATTGGCACTAGACAACATTTCCATCAAAAGGAGAAAGCAAAAAATCAATGCAAATAACAAAATTAAAAAAAAATTTAAAACTCGTTCAAATGTAAGTTTTATTGACGTCCAAACGCTTGAATGGTTAAACTTAGTTATGAAAAAGTTGAAAGTCTACCATAATTGGTAATATGGAGAGTAACCCAATCTCTTATAAGCCCTTGCAAGGCTTCTTCTTTCACCAATGTGGAACTTTTTTACCTTCATATTCTCACACGCCCTCTCATATGAAGTGAATTTTTAAGCCGAACACATGGGTAACATAATATTGGGTGATGTGAAGCACGTGTGACCTTTGAGCTTCACATGCGGGACAATCTGCTCTGATACCATCCCGACTCAGATGAATGGACACCAAAATCGATGCATGCTAGCCAACATTGGAAGATGACAAAGCCATAATATGCAAATGAGGTGTAAAAAGTAGAGAATAAATTGAAATCAAAGTCTAGAACTAATTTAATCTAGGAGTGAGAGTGCAATGCAGGAAAAACTCTTATATAATGCATGCAATGTCAGAATATACTTGAAGGTGCATTAAAGGTAAGAATATCCACGTCCTGGACAGGATGAACAACTTCCCAGATAAATTATTTAACTTGGACACGATGTCCAAGTCAGAATCATTCAACTCCTCATCAACAACCTGCTTAAAATTATCATGCTTGATCCACAAAGAAAAAGAAAAACTAAACGGTCTGAGCTTAGGATCAGGAATTTTGTCAGAAACAAGGCTAATAACAAGAGGGTAATGGTCTTTCTTTCAGAACCTTAACCAAGTAATCACCATCTCTGGATGACTCTCTTTCAATTGGTGGTGTTGGCAAGACAACCTTAGAAGAAACCGCAACACGACCAATCAAGAACAATTGCATCACCCACCCTGCTCTAGCCAAAACGAATCCTATTTCGTGTTACCTTCTCCATTACTATGTTCTCATACTTTCCTTTGTTAGAAATCCACGGACAACATTCTGGAACTTCCAAACCAGGGGGGCCTGGAAAAATAACAAGAATCGGTGTCATGGTGGTGCTACGAGACGGCAATTTATCGTATGGAAGAATAGATCCACGGGCCGAAGTCTTTATAGGAAATATGTGCCCTTTGCTTGGGTTTGCTTGGGTTTGAAAGTGCAAGACTAGCTGGACCTGGACAGATTAATCGCGAAAAGTTCGCCCAAAGTGCCAAGTACAGCATTCAGTAAGAAATAACCATTAACTTCAAATTCTATTCCCCTTGAGCTTACGCGTTCGAGTACTACGGAAATTTGGTAAGAAAGGAGACAAAATATGAAATAAGCTCAAATGTTCATGTAAGATTTCCACCTAGCCATTCCAGGGACATTTTCGTAACTTCACAACTTTAGGGAATAAAATATAATAAGATTAGGGACGGGTTGCAACATTTTCTATAGTGATTTACACACGTTTTAAGTTATAGCCGCAACTGCGGCAAGAACGGACTAAGGCCACGTAAAGAAACGAAAAAAAAAGAGGAACGAAGGTACACAGAAATCACTATGATATATATATGAACAGATGTATACAATCATTTGATGGAGAGCTTGACCGGTTTTTTTCCAAGGATTAAACATTGGAACCGTCTGTCGTGACTTGCCAGTAGAAAGCTGGTATGTCTGAACTGATCAAGAGCATTGTAAAGTTCCCCCAGGTTTTGAATCAATAGAAAGAAGAGGAAAGGATCCTAAAGAAGCCATCCGGATTATCAGCGTCGACCTGAAAATTAACGGACGAAAACGAGCAACGCTGCATATTTAGCAAATACTGTACATATGGTATCCCATTCATGCAAGTTACAGACAAACTGCATCGAACAATTTCATATTTTAAGCAGCATCTTATACATTCTAGACTGCATTAACAAAACAACACCAAAGAATAACTTGTGAATAACCATATGACAAGCACAACTTCCCCAAAACTACTAATTCCCATGTCCAAAATGACGACAAGCTGTTCCTATGATACTCAGTAGCATTGCAGCAAAGAAAGTGTCACTACTGAACAACAATGACACCACTTTTGCACAAAATTTTAAATCCTAAAACCGCTAACCCATACAAACACCTGCGCTACTAGACCCAAATAACCATCGAAAAGAAATACGTTACTTATGACTCCCATGCTCGTTAAGCTCGCCCAGGAGTCCGGGACCCAATACTCATGTATGCATAACACTGCTAAACTTGAAAATTAGATCGGTGCTATATAAAGAAACAAAAAGTAACAACCAAACATGAAAAAACTTATGCCAGTTAATCCATAAATAAAAGATTCAGAGCCAAAACTACAAATTAATCCATTCAAGCATGTCTCGCAGTTTGAAGTACCTATGCGACATCTTTGGAGAATCCTTTTTGAACTAGAGCATCCACAACATCGCTCTTTGAGGAAACCTGCCTTTAAGAAAAATTGGTAGCATCTCTCTTGGATCCTGATATTTTGCAGTATGCAAGGATTCCCCCTTGACATTCTGAATACAACCTTTGAAGCTTCAGATTGTATATCCACTTTCAACAGCATACCTTCCAATGAAAAGGCATTACAATACTCATCATACTTGTCACATTGCATTTTTGCACATAGTATTTATGGAGAAGTTGCGAGAAATATCAAAATCACTGCCATTAAAATAGTTCAATAACCACAAAATGGCAGAACGGCTTATCATTCCTGCTGAATCATGAATGACAGAATCCCCATTTTTGCTCTCAGATTTTTCCAAAAAATAAGCCAAGCTTTCAAATAGAATTGGGCCATTAGATACATGATCCCATTTAGCCATAACAGCAGAAGCAAAATCCTGAAAAACACTGTTAATGGTATTGGAGTTTCCATACAGGAAGAATAGTTGCCCACAAAATGACCAGGATGACAAGGTTGTTGACACTTTTTCGAGATTTCAACTTTCCTACCTGACAAAAACCCGTCGAGCTTGTTGCAATATAGGAGACAGTGCATCACAAGAGGTCAAGACATCAAGTGAACAAATCACTCCTCTCTTAACAAGTACACTAAAAGAAGTTGACACACCTTTAACCAAGATATCGTAATGTTCCACATCATAGTTCTCCATAAGAAGGAAAAGAAATTCAAGAAGAGTGTGAGTTATATCAATGTATCTGGGTATAGAATATACCATTAACAGCATTGCGGGTTCAATATCCATAATATTGTCTACTCTTTCCTCAAAAAAGAGCCAATCATAAAGTAGAGCCAGTTTCACATTTGCTTCAACATAATTCTTCGTGCAAGATTTCAATAGCCAACCTATAACAGCCCATCTTGGAACGACATCTGACTGAATGACTTTGTTGGTCGGGTGGTAGGCACAACATATAAATCGAACAATGTCAATTATGAGAGTCTCCCTGTTTGGTTCCCATAGAAACTTCTTGGCAAACCACGCCTGGTGACGCTTCTGGTTTCCCAACTTCACATGAGTGAGTAAAAATCGCAATTGGGACTCCATTTCTGGAGTAATCCGAAGTAACATATACTCACTTGGAGTCCTTGTGTTATAGAGCTGTGGAATACCATAAAATCCCCGAGCCTTAAACTCGCCCTGGTTCAATACCAAATCCTTCCATATTGCTCTAAACTTTGGTAAATGAACCAAATCTTGTAAAAGTCGAACAAGATCCCTGCCAACCTTCAAACACAAAGGAAACTGCTCCTTTAAAACTTTAATACAAAAATCAATTTCCAATTGCTTTAATGCCTCTAATTGTGGATTACTGACAAATCTAGAGTGATCAGCTAAAAGCCGAAGATACGTATACAACCCACTAGTCAAAATCATCGGATCAACTTGTAACAAATAATCCCATTTCAACATAAAGATGGTCGCCATCTCAAAACACAGCCACAGATTTCCATCACTAAAATCCCCTCCAAGAATTTGCCTCAACAAACAAACCAACAAACCTTCAACGCCTACTGCTAGAACATTGATCAACTCCTTAGTAACCCAAATCAATCGAGACTTCACTGGTTCAAGAAGTTTGACATACAATTCATTCGCGACCTCGACCAGCAAACCAACAAAGCAGCAATACCCATCAGTGACAATAGCATGCAAGTGCTTAATATGTGCCTTTCCAACATGGGTTTCGCATAAAACACCATAAAGGATGGCTTTGTTGAGAAGCAAGTATTCTTGTGGATTTGGAACTGTTAATGCAAAAGGGGGCCTCAGTTTTGGCTCAACAAGTTCAAAGGCTTGCCTGAGAGAGAGCTCTGTCGGGTTTTTGGCTTCGTGGGAAGAGATTTGAATTAGTTTCATATTGCATAAGTGGTAGTAGAATACAGTTGAGGGAATCAGTCAGATGGTACTGAAATTGAACTTAGCAAATCATATTCCAGAGATCCAAATCTATTGGGTTTTCGAAGAAACAGTTTCATCGTCAGTAACTCACTCTAGGGTTTCGAAATCGAAAAAACCCCAAATTTCGTTCTGAAACCCTTAGAGACCCAATTAAATTGAACTTTGAAATTCCAGAAATTACTAACCTTTCGTTGCTTCGGCACCAAGAAATTCGATGACGATGAAGAGTTTGAAGAATATAAAATTAAAAATAGCTTTAACTTTGATGGGAATTGCAAAAAAGGAGATGGTCTGACTGATGGTGAGGTAGGACTCAGAGCTTTCCGCCGTTGAATTACATCCAACGGCTGGCACCGCATCTTGGAGACTCGCGCGCCACGGCTTTGCCCGGGAAAACACGTTGATTTGCAGCTTCCTTTCCTCGAAAAGGGGTAAATTTATGAAAATAATAGTGGGTGTATCAATATCGATATCGGTTTTCTCGATGTAAATGATAGAAATTTTCTCTAAAACGTGGAAATTTAAAATGAAATTTTAGGAAATATCAAGTATTGGTTTAGATGAAATGTAAGTTTCTTTTATATGTAACTGATATATTAGAAATATCGACGAAAATTGTCAATTTTAGCTGAAATTTAAACTTCACTCCCACTTTCCTCATCTTTTTCTAATTTTTCGATATTTCCACAAAAATATCAACCGTATCGAAAAAATTTCAAACAGTGAGTATAAATGGATAGAGATTACTAATGGGATTATGCTAAGCGTAGCCTATTAGAGTTAGTACACTGTATAAGTAAGGGTCTATGTTCGTCCTGAGTGCGTAACTTACACATAATACTTCTTTGGTATTATTACGTAATTGGAAGAACCAATCAAAGAAGTTTTACTAGCACCCGTGGAGAGATTCAATGACAAAGAGATGTCTCTAAAACTTGACAATCCAGGTTAGTGCTCTAGCGTGTTTTACTGATATGAAAACCTTTGATTAACATTTATGTTAACGAGTTCTTGACATCGATTGATAATGGTAAAACTCTTGCTTTGGCTGGCCATCCCTCTTGTTATACACCCTTCACTAACAAACCATACCAATTTGAATTTTGCATTGATTGAAATTCAAAACACACGACGTGAAAGTTCAAATTTGTTTGCTATATACTTGTACATCTAACCAATCCAAAGAACCTCCAGTTTACAGTTTGGTTACAATTCTAAACAAGTTTATATTTATAGGCCCCAAATACGCGAACAAGTAAGGTCATCTCCAACCGAAGGGTCCAGAGGACCAGATGGCCAGAGGGTCGAAAAACGCCCGAAAACCGTCTCCTACCGAGGGCTAAGCCAAAGGGCACGTGGGCCCCACAGAATCTGAACGGGCCAACCTATTGGCCCAATCCAGCCACCCAGTCAGCCTCGGGCTGAGCCATAAATTTGAGCATTCCTGTCGGATATAACCGACAACAACATAATATATTCCTGCCGGCTATATCCGACAGGAATGCTAGGTCAAAAATTTAAATAAAACGGCTAACTAATGTCAGCTAGCCGTTATTTTTTATTTTTTTTTACAGTTTTATTTTTTTACAATTTTTTTCCCTATAACTTCTATTTTTTTTCTATAACTTCCTATAGCTTCTATTTTACAAAATTTGTTTCATATTTTTTTTAAATTCTATTTTTTGTCATATAACTTACTAAGCCATTATACAACATTAAATTAAATTAAGTAACATGAAACAACATTAAATAAAATTAATCAAGTTGTAGTTTTTAAATTTAAGTTGTAGTTTTTAAACATAAGTTGTAGTTTTCTAAATTTAAGTTGTAGTTTTTAAACTTAAATAATAAATTATGTTTGGTCCTATAGCTCTTTGGGCCTTTATTGGAGACAATTTTTTGTGACAGGGCTAAAACGAGCCCTATGGCCCTTTGGCTCTCGGTTGGAGATGGAGGCAAATATGACCATGTACTGTTCATTAAAATATTAATATCTTGGAGGGCCAGAGGGTTAAAACGAGCTCTCTAGCCAGCCTTCGGTTGGAGATAGCCAACGGAGGCCTCGTAAAGAAATGTAAAGAACTAAGAACGATGATACAGAAAACTCACTATGATATAAAAAAAGATGTATACAATCGTCTAATGAAGAAATTGACCAGTTCTTTCAATGGAAAAAATAATGGTACCGTCGGGTGATTTGTCAGTAGAATGCTGATATGTCTGAACTAAACTGATCATGAGCACGCTAAAGCTCACCCAGGTTTTGACTCAATAGAAAGAAGAGGAAAGGATCCTAAAGAGCCCATCCGGATTATCTGCGTGGACCTGAAAGTAAAGACGAAAATGAACAGTTACATATTTAGCAAATATGGTGAAATTGATAATATCCCCTTCATGCTAGTGCAAGAACAAATTGACCAAACAATTTCATATTTTAAGCAGGAACTTATAAATCCTACACCGCATTAACGGTAAGAAATAATCATTTGTGCATAACCATATGACAACAACCGCCATACACAACTTCCCAAAGACTACTAATTCCTTTGGCCAAGCATGAATAGAAGACTTGAATATTGACCTAACCTAAAAGGTTTAGAACATTAGGAATCACCTGGATCATGTAAAGGTCCAAATGCAATACAATTCCGAACCTGAGCACTCTTAAAAATAATGATTATTTAACTAAAATCATTCGTGCAGTCTCTCAACTATTTAGTTAAAAGTGAAAATTTTTGAATTTAACAATGATTAAGAGACTGACTATTTTGATTTACATTTTGCATAAAAAAGTTTTTTTTTTTTTTTTTTTTTGAGGCGTTTAGTTATAGCTCCCTTTTTTTTTTTTTTTTTTTTTTTGTTGAGGCGTTTAGTTATAGCTCCCTTACGCATGTTTTCCTTTTGATGAGCATTCAGCAATGGACTTTTGTAATTACAGATCCCTGCCAAGTGTATGTTGTAGCTTAGTAGGCGTTAGACCGATGTAAGCTGCTCCTATGTGACTCAGTAGCACTACAGCAAAGGAAGGATTACTAGTGAATAACAATGACACCAATGTAGCACTAAATCCTAAAACACCTACGGTAATAAGCCGCTCCCCACACCCCCCCACCAAAAAAAAAAAAAAGAAAAATACAGATATATATATTAAAAACCAACTAAGATGCAGTAAAACTGACAAGGACCCAATACTAAAGTATCATGTCAATGATTTTTTTTTATATATGTGTGCACTGTGTACAAACACAAGTGTTCCACTTTGTGTGATTAACTCCAAACTGTAAAGCAACATACCCAGTGGCCTGCATCCTCGAGGACATGCATTTCCACTCCACCTGCCTCCTCCACAGCAAGCTCCTCAGCCGCATGAATTCTCTGGAGATCTCCTAGAGCCCATCTGTGCAAGCTCCTTTCTGCTTTCAAAAAGTTCACATGGACACCTCGAGGCACATCTTCAACAATTTTCCTACAATGATCCAATTTAATAAGAGCCAGTTGCAAATTTGACATTTGAGATATTGGGAGAAAGTTTAAGCACGCACAACTTCAGAATGAAAATGTCCTTTTTGTTTCAATATGTGAAGAGATTTAACTTTTATACACACATATAGTATGATTGAAAGGTATTTAGTTTGATGTACATCCAGAATGAAAAAGTGAACACTCCAAAAGAAAACACAATTCATTAAAGAATACCACCAGCTCGGACAAGTGGGTTGTATTTCTTTTTTTAAAAGGATATTTAACCGCTAGAGCCTAGGTATTGACTCTTGTGCCATGTACGACAATAATCCAACACAATAAGGATACGAATAATTACCATAAATTTGTTTCTTCATAAGATTTATACATTTCAGCAATTCCCTTTAGATCGAACACCCATGACAATGTTGATGGCGATGAACCAGGAGACTTGGTTGGTCGAAGATTAGTAACCACCCACTGCACATGTAACAGCATATAATAACATAAAATAACATCCTGAAGGCATGAATGAATAACATAACAATGCTGACTTGAAAATTAGATTGGTTCCATAAATAAAGAACCAACAAGTAGCGACCAAACATGCAAAAACTTATGACAGTTATTCACTGAGGATAAAATAGCGAATTAGGCTAAGTATTAATATCAGCACGACAAATAAAAAAAAAATCCAAACTGATCCATAAACAAAGGTTTCAGAGCCCAAACTACACATTAATCCATTCAAGCATGTCTCACAGTTTGAAGTACCTGTGCAACATCTTTGGAGAATCCTTTTTGAAGTAGAGCATCCACAACATCCCGCTTTGAGGAAACCTGCCTTCAAGAAAAATTGGTAGAATGACAATCTTACACAGAAACAAATGAAATGAAGACAAACATTTTTCAGCATACAAAGTTTCGCCTAATACACATTAACAATATTCTTTATGATTAACAATATTCTTTATGACAAAACAATGAGAGGTGCACACGTATCTCTGCTCAGTAGGACCCAAAACGCAAGCAATAAACTGATTTACAATGATCTGATATCAAGTTGTATTATATGAATGTAACTTAGAGTTGTAAAAAGAAAAGAAAGAGAGAGAGAGAGAGAGAGGAGATAAGTAAAAGGGGCGAGAAAATCAAATAATAAAAGGACTACAATACTTAAAGGAGCCCAGCTTCCTTAAAAAGAAAAGGAAACAACTATTGAACATGTATTCACCTCTTTGGGCAATGTACTTAGGACGGATATCAATTCTTCTGGATGGTCCTCCCCATCCCCACCAGGACGAACTATTCCAGGCGTAGCATCTAGAACCCAAACCTATACAAACAACTAGTAAGACAAAAAGAAAGATAATGCCCAAGAGACACCCAAACTTTCTACGATATATATTCAAAATATTCCAATTACTTACTCTGACTGGTCGTGCAAAAGGCTTTGCAGCTTGATCCACCATGCTCAAGGCAACTACATGAAAAATCAGAAACATAGTAAGCATCAATCCATTTTAAGAAGGTGCAGATTTACTGTGTACTAGCACTCTCCAATAAAGGTATGCAACATGCCAAATAAACCTAAGATACCTTTCCCTCCAAAACTGTGGCCAACTATAACCCGAGGTGTTAATCTAAGCTGTTGAACCTATACAGGAAAAGAAATAACATTATATTAGACGTAATTGTATCTGAAGCATGGGAAGGTACCAGACAAAGATATACAAATATATGGGGCTGTTCAAATGCTGTGCATACAACACTGTTCATGCAGACAGTGATGAAGTTCAGAACAATAACTGAAACTTTTCTTGATAACAATTGGACATACTTGTGCTTCAAAAAAGTTACAATAAGTACTCAAGAAACATGTACCAGTTTTAGGACATCAAGAGCCGTGGAAGAAACACTATGGGGTCCCCTTTTCTTAATTGACGCTGAATCACCATGACACCGCAAGTCCACTAAAAGAAACTTTGCCAATAAACAAAAAAAATAACATAAGGTTGTCACCACGACCATATACAAAAATTCCTTGTGCAATCTATCCAAAAAGTAAACACACACACACGCACACAAAAACAAACATAGAAAAACATACTTTACAAGCATAAGTAGTGAACATGACAACAGGAGAAGAAGTACAAATTCTTAATTAGATCAGTCACAAAACTATAGAAAAATATTAAAAGACCCTCAAGTGAGAGCTCAATTCCTAAATACCGCCCAAATTCCAACACCTCCCACCGCGGCCCCCCCCCCCCCCCCCCCCCCCCCCCCACAAAACCCAATTTTCTTCTATCCCCTTGAGACAATTAAAGTATTGTTTTTTAAAACATTTGCAAATTATCTAAGGTTACAAGGGGTTACTAGGAGTAACAAACCCTTTAAGGGAAGGGATTCCCCTTTTTTTTAAATGGGGATTAGTTGTGGGGCTCACTCCACATCGAACTTCAACAATCCAAACCGTCTGTAAGTCTCGATTCGTAGGTCATCCTTGCAAAAATTCAATTCAGTCTGAAACCATTTGCCTATTTAATTGTCACGATGAAATTTCAAAGTTTCTTAGACTATAGTGTTCAACAATTTCTTTGAACTCAATTAGATGCCTCAAATATTTCTGATTTGATTAATATTTTTCAAGGATGATCTATGAGGTGCAACTTGAAAAATTGAAGGTTCGGATTGTTGAAGTTTGATGTGGTGTGGGCCCCACAACTAATCCCCATTTTTTGAAAAAAAAATTGGGGATCCCTTCCCTTAAAGGCTCCATTGGGAGTTATAAGTGTAGGGTTTAGTATGGTCTAGGACTAATTGATTGAAGGGGTAGAATCACCATTATAGAGCTTAGGATTTTGGGTTGGCTCTCAGGTTTTGGGTGGGCAATGGGTTGGCTCTCAGGTTTTGGGTGGACTATTGCCCACCCAGGGCTGAGAAGCTTGTTACAAGGAGAAATGCTAGCAATCTTCTCACTTACCTTCTCATTTCAACCTTCTCACTTTCCTTCATGCCACATGCACTCCACCAGCACTCAAAACTAAAACTTTAATTATATCAAAATCCCACTATTCCTTTGTTAGTGTAATTAAAATTTTAGTTTGTCAACCAAAAAGTAATAAAAAATTTAGTTTTGCGTGCCAGTGGAATACACATAGTATGTGTAGAAGTGAGAAGGTTGAAATGAGAAGGTACGTGGGAAGGTTGTGTGTGCCTCGCTATAGGTTTATTTGTGTGGTTTTGTGTCAGATCTGTACTGATAGTGCTTGCGTTTGTGGTAATTAGGATCACTCAGATAATGATAGAAAATTAAATGTTATGAGCTTTACCACATAAATACATGAACCATTCATGATAAGTGAAAGTACAAAAGCAGAGGGTGCTACCTGCCATGTCGGAAATTCTTGTGCCAATCTCCTGGTGAAGGTTCCTGCAAGATCAGACATTATGAATTAACCCACCGACTATTTATGTGCAACAAACACATAAAAAATCCCACTATTATCACTTCATTGTAATGATACAAAGATATGGAATTGAAAAGATATACACAAAGAAAATAATATCCAGGAATGCAACAATAGCACAAATATGAGTGGCATACTTTCCTCATATATGACACAACCCGTATATTAAAAAAGAATACTAAAACACCCACATTTGGAATGCACTGAACACCTAATCGGTGACCAATAAAATAGCTACACAAAGACTCAAGTAACTTCTACCGGAATTTTTTCCCCAAAAAAAAAAAAAAAAGAGATCTGAGGAAAATAATTATATGTAAACTAGAAGAGATAAATGATGGTTCATTTTATCAAGATTTGTAACATGATTAGCACAATCAACAGGAAGTAAAAACAGAAGACAGTACCCTTTAGTCCAAAAAACCCTGTCAAATTAGATTTCCAGTCAGTAAGACAGTGCAGTTGAACTTGAATGAACACAAAAACTCGCGAACAGATAAAGACTCGGACAAAATGAGTGGCACGAAACTCAGCATTCTACTCACTTAAAATCTCTCATTTAAATGATTTGTTAAAAGGAGGCAGAGGAACTCAGGAAAGCAGCTCAACGTTGTTAAAACTCTCACCCTCGTAACCAGAAGAGGAATTGTGGAGACTTTTCTCAATAGTCCTAGTTGAAAACGAATTTTCTTTTCTTAGTATAACTTGGTGCATATAACCATAAAATGTAATGAGTTCAAGCTAATCTTGAATTGAACACTTGGATTTACTGGCCAAAATGGTAGATATGCCTTTGTACAGTGGGACTGACAGTATAGTCATACAGTACACTTGTGTCTTTCACTCTTTAGTTTTCATGTGTATCGGCTTTCATTCTGAAAATTCCAATAATATAACATCATTTAACACCAAAACTACTGAAAGAAGTCAACCCATATTGAAAGTATTTTAGAACAGTTCAGTCAAGCTAATAAAACCAAGACAACCACTAAATAAGTGTTCTCAACTTTAGCTTATAGTTCGTTTGTACAAATTTACGAAAGAAGACCTGCATGTAGTTTGAAACTTGGTCTTCTTCAAGCAATAAGAAACAGAAGATCTGACCAAGAGGGTTCATTTCAAAATCTCATTTGAGTACTTTCAATATTGATATATTTTCCATATTCTTCTATTACAAGGAAAGAAAATAAAATTCACTGTATGCACAACACAAAAGCATCTTATAATATAGTAGTTTCTTAAATTTGTAACTGTAACTAAAGGAATAGAGAATGCACGATTCACTATTTCAACGCATTGACCAGTAGTCAAGATGAAGTGAAATGACATTAGAAAGAGACAAGAACAAACGTACCCCAGTTCTTCCTGCTACCTAGAATTCCATGCAGAAAAACAGCTGTTGGAGGCTTAGGTAACGACCTGTCCACAACCACAGCCGGACTCCATTTTACCTGCACACTGTAACTATTCAGATATGTGATTATGCAAACTCAAACAATACTAAGAAAAATGAACTATGTGGCAACTCATCATGATTTCTCATCTTCACTGACTAGCCCTAGTGCATTTGAGATAGCTTCTCAATTTAATTGTTTGTTAAATTTCAATATAGGTAGTGGGCTGCTATATTTTATTGGGTAGCAGCTCTTATTGATTGCTGTGTAAGTTTAAATAATTAGAAACTTATGGAAACAGAGGGGAATGCATCAGTGGCAGCGGGAGAAAAACGAGGATCGGAAGAAAAAAAGACGGTAAGAAAGAGACTCTGTTATACCATAAAAGATATGGCACAGCAGTAAAGACTAAAGAGAATACAGAAGGTATGTGGATGAAGTCCTCAATAGCATATAGGATTACAAAGCCTTGATTTACACGTATACTTTCTATACAAGCAATACTGTAAAAGGTAAGCTAATCTAAGGGATTTGATTTATACAGGAATATATCAGGAATCACAAATCAGCAATCATAATTACCGTCTATCCAGAATAGATTATTATGATGTTTGATTCAAAATTCTACATGGCGGAGGGGCAGAAAAAAAGTATGCAATTTTTATATGAGCAAGAAGTGTTAGAATCTGAAACAAAAATTGCAACAAGTTCTCAATCATAAACTCACTACATATCACCTTATCAGGAGATTAAAGAATACAAAGACTTACAAGTGCTCCCTGAACAAGATCAAACGCCTGTCGAATAAATAAAAAGAACTGTTATTTACGTCAAAGTAACCTAACACTTAAGAGTAATCATCTGCATTCCGAAGAAGACCAACATTTACAATTTCTTTAAGTCACTGTGGAAATAGTAGTTTTAGATACCAGGATGTCAGAAGGCTTGGAAAAATCTCCACTCCGTGCAATCTTCGCATCAACTAATGCCATACGAACACCGGAATTCTTATCTGACTTGCCCAAGTGACCAACCGCTAATTGATTCTATATCAACAAAAGGGAAAATGATGAAGGTATACAAAAAGGTGATCATCAAACCGAATTTTGGTCTCAGAAACAGGAAAGTATTAAACTACTACAAGTTAGAAACCTAAACCACAGAAAGCTCACATCTTAGAAAAAAAAAATATTATAATTATAGTTTTCTTGAATGTAATCCAAATTTCGTGATTAAACCCATATACAATATAAGAAACTTGAACAAATAAATCTTAAAAAAAAAAAAGTGCAACACTTCGAAATTCACAAGCAACCATCCATCCAATCATTGTTCAAATTGATGGTCTGAAAAGTAGCATTGTTCAAATGGGTACTCTAACAACCACATTTCTCTGCATTTATTTACATAATTCAGATGAAATGAACAATTGTAAAAAGCAATTGAAATAGAATTTGACTGGTATGAACGGGGAAAGTACCTTAGAGGCCCAAGAGATCCGAGTTTTCAATCCAGAAGTTGATGGGAACTGTAACCTCCTCTCTCCGAAAATGCCTAAGTTCCCGCCGTGACTGCAACCCGCAAGATTTGAAATCGCCGCCATTGTTGCCACGACGGCGTCTTGCAAGGAGAGATTCAGGAATTTCGCGGAGAGGGAGAGAGAGGGGGAGCGATAAAGTCAGAGAGAGAAGAAGACGGAAGTGGAGGTGGAGGCGGAGACACCGAGGGAAACAGTCGGTGTTCGCGCGTACCCTGCTTTTTTTTCTTTCTTTGTTTTCTTTCTTTTTTACTTTTTTTTTTTTGACGATTTATGTGACAAGTGGAGACATCGGCGTTTGGTGCCTCCCCGAAATTTTGGAAGTTTGCAATTACCTGTAGGAAAATGCAATGTTATGATTCATTGGGAATTTACAGAGGGAATAATACTTTGTTACTTAAAAATAAGTAGGAATTTCTACTTAAAATTTTTCAAGATTGTTCGTTGTTAATTTATAGAATTTTGTGTTTATAATCAGAATCGTTTATATTATAAATCATCCTAAGGTTATTTCGTTTAGGGGTAGGCACGGGCCGGGCCGGGCTTAAATTTGGAGGGACCGGACCGAACCCTCTTAGAAAGGAAGCGGGTCAGGCCGGGCTGAATATTACAAATCTAATCACTGGAACTGACCTAACCTGGCATGTTTCAAACGGACCGGTTCGGGACGGGTCCATGGGTCCTCTATTTTTATTTTTTTTCTGGTTTGGATCGCCCTCCCGGACTCGCCCTATCGCTCATCCTCCAGATCTTTGACATCGCCAGAGCTTACCGGATTCTGCAAAGATCAAGAAATTGTCCAGAGTTAGAATAAGCTCTATTCTTTCACCAAATTTTGACAAATGACTCACCAAAATTCGATGAGTTGGCCTAGGGTTCTCATTACTACTGTCGCAGCTTCGGATCTTCCATGCAAGCACACAACATGATCTTCAAGCCACCCAAAAACTGATTTTGGTGGTTTCGATTTGAATCTGGCCGGGAAAATGATGGTTGTGGGTGATGTTTCTCGGTGGAAATAAGAGAGTTTTGCAAAGGTTGAGAGAGAAGGAAATTCAGAAAATGAGGGAGAGAAATCAGGCCGAAAGGTTGATGATGGTGGCGGACGGAGGAGAGATCGACGTTTGATGATGATGGTGGCGAACGAAGGAGAGATGATGTTTGGGTTGAAGTTGGCTTGGGTGAGATGATGTTTGGCGAACAAAGTAGAGATGATGTTCACGACCGGTTTCTGGAACCTTCCAAACCCAATGAGATTTGGATTGAATTTGGCCTAGGGTTCTCGAACATGCTAGAAATGGGCTAGGCCGGGGGCCCGTCCACTCCTATTTTAAGAACCGTCCCGCCTCGTTAAATTCGTACACCCGCCCTGCCCCGTCCCGTTTTGTGTTCTGAAATTTTGGACTCGCCTCTTACCGGCCACGACCCATGGGTCCTGGACCTGTTTGCCCACCCCTAGTTTAGTCATCAAATTGTTTAAAAAAATAAATGGTATTGGTAAAAACATTACGAACCGTGTATGCATTTGCTACAATAGATTGACTAAACGACCTTAGTTTTAATTTATTTTTTGCAGAGATGATCTTTACAGTGTGATTCATAATATGAACGCTTCTGATCATATGCATAAAGCTCTAACACTAAGAGTTTTAAGTAGGAGTTCCTACTCATCTTTAGGTAGCCCAATATTGTTCTTCTGGAAGACATGGAAGTCTTAAGTGCTCTTGAAATGGAGAAAATCTTGTCTTCCCATGTCATCCGTACGTCCACTTAAGCAATTAAAATGAATTTCTATAACGGAGTTGCACTGCATGGCCATGTCATCCATACGTCCACTCAAGCAGTTAAAATGAATTTCTATAACGGAGCTTAAGTCGAGGTACATTTTCACAAATGAACGTGCATATAACTTGATTCTCTGAATAGACACACACACACAAAAAAAAAAAAAAATAAATAAAATAAAAAATGTCTTAAAACAGAGTTCTGCTTAGGTTTAAGCTCTTCACCAAGTGTTTAATTATTTCATGGTGGATGAACGTTTGTTGTTACTCCCAAATGAGATGCATTTGGTAGTTAACTTACATGTATGAGTAGGGGATTCAATTCATACCACGTCTTTGCAGTGAAAATGTTTACTCTCATCCAACGCTGTGATTGCTTTTTGGCGCTGTCTTTTGTAAATAGGATTGATAGTCTTGCCTTGTTTTTTGCTCGTTTTACTAGAATGTAGACTTTTAAGTTAAACGTCAACAAAAGCACAAGATATGTAGCTCAATTAATTAAGAGCACTCATATTTTGTATTCAATGCCATAGTTTGATACTCCATCCAGTTCACATTTGCTATATACGTATGTGTGCCTATACATCACATTTGCTTGCTCATACAAGTAACAAGTTCAAAGAAAAAAAGTGTATATATATATATATCCTCCCCTTGAGGTAAAAGATGAGAGTAAAGCAAGTAACATTAAATCTGGTGAGGGAACTATCGTAGGGACCTGGCTTCTCTACCCTCTCACTTCTCATACACTCTCATCCCCTCCTATTTTGTACGGTTACAGTTAAGCCACGTTAATATTTTATATTGATTTTTTTTATAAAGATAATAAGACAAAAAACAATAGTAATATAAAATATTGACGTGACTTAACCGTGATCGCATAAATAGGAGGGGATGAGAGTGTATGGGAAGTGGAAGGGCTGAGAAGCCAGGTCCCTATCGTAGAAGCCATGGCACACCTCTGATGGCAATCTGTAAAACATGTAGGAATTAAGTGAAAACTGAACTAGTTTTCATATCCGTTAGGTAGAAAAGGAGATAAAACAGACAGAAATTTGAGAAATCGGACAACTTTGAACTTATATATATATTCATATTCTACACATTCACTCTATGCCTCCGTGATTCCATCCTACGCATTGATGAACTTAGATTACTAGAAGGTGGTTTTGGGGGCCACTTGGTACTACGATCTAGTGGTATTCCTCTTCACTTGTAAGGGAGAGGTCTTAGATTCGATTCTCACCAAAGGCGAATTTGAACCACATTATTGCTAATTGTCAGCCCATTGTGAGGTTTAGCCCACTTCCCACCTTTTTAGTATAAATAATATCGTTTGTTTTTTTTTTCAAATGAAAATAAATAAATGTTGGTTTTGGGGAGATCAAATAGAGAGTTTAGGATGAGATTACATGTAGAGGATCAGCAACACTGAGGGTTAGGGTTTGTGGGTCAATTTAGTTTGGGTGGTGCTATCCACACACATATTTGTACTTCTCACTCACATCTCTCAATTTTTAGTCGTTGGATCGAGAGAATCGAAGATCATTGGCCAAAAATTTATAAGGGTATAGGATGTGAAAGAAGGTGTGTGAATAGCACTATCCTTTAATTTTTTATTTTTTCGATTGAGTACTCCATCTTTGATTGACCGCTTACCGTTTATCTTTCCGCTCTCAACCTTGCGTTCTCAAGCAACCAAGTTTTAATCTTTTTCGCTTCCAATTTAATGCTTTTTCAATTAATATTCTGTGCTGAAGTTTGGTTGAATTTTGTTTGGGCGTTTGGTCTCAAGATTTCTAGAGTAACATCTTTGACATAGAACATATAATCACGTGTTTTAACTTTTTCATACAACACATTTTTTTTTTTGAAACATTACTACTGTAGCATTCTCCAACTCATAGCATATAAGTCATATAAGTGAAATCACACCTCCTATGAATTGCGATAACTTTTGAAATTATAGAGTAATATTATATTTACTATACCACATTTGTATCACTTTTCTAATAAAAGTAGGACCAATCAACATATGTAGATCTTATCTCAATTAGAGAATTGGTATAAATGTGGTATGAAAAATCTGATCAGAATACCATTTTTAATAACATAATATAATAGGAAAAAAAAACTTACTCTAACAAAAAAAAAGTAAGAAATTTTTTTACATATGAGAATGCACTTGAATCGAGACCACACAATGATGAATCTATTTCATGTAAATTCTTATCCAAATCATGACCCATCCCAAAATCAAATTTTTGACTTTAATAAATAAGCAATAAAAAATTTTAAATTTAAATAAAAGAGATGCGAATAAAAAGGTAGTGCTAAAAAATTATGATTAAATTGTATTCTATAAACGTTATGACATGGTTGCTTATAAACCTTAGGTGTTGAATAACGTGTTTACTTTATATGGATAGCACATTACGTGATTTACAAATTTAATCCACTTAACGTTACTTTGAATAAATAGTTGAGCATGGTCCAAAATTGATTGATCATTCATCGCACCGCAAATTTAATTTGATGCAAGAGCCTAGGGGCACTACCACATGACTTAGGGGCGGGCACTGTTCAGTTCGGTGTGGTTTTGAGTGAAACCGAAATCAAAATTGAAACTTTTTTGCGGTTCGCTTCAGTGCATTTTTGAAGCCAAAATCGAAATGAAACCAAACTGTTTGGTTTGGTTTCGTATGTTTCAGTTCAGTTTTTAAGAAAAAATATACAATTTAAAATACGAAACACTCATTATCTCAAGCTTTACATGTATGCAATCAACAAAGAACTTTTTGAAAGAAAAAAAAACTTATCTAGAAGAAAAGTAGTTTCTAGTAAGATCATAAATCAGAACTTGAAATGAAAGACATCATACATTAGAACATATTATTAAGCATTTCCCAATATAGACATCTGAGAGAGTGCTCCTAAAGGGTGCAAATTAAACTAGTAGCTAATCGAACCGCTACAAAATGTCATAACCCGTATATAAAATGAAACTAATCCCTCATTAAAAACCAGTAAAAAGTCCTCATAGAGCAACCTTATTAGCTAGCTAGGTACCAATTGCCATGCAAAAATTTAAGTCTTGGGAAGAAGAAATGAAAGAATGGTTTGCAACTTTACATGCATACTTTGTGCAATAAATAACATGTATCAATGATCCAATGTCATGGACTTATGGTAGATATATATTATGATTGCCCAGCAAACAGACTTGCATGGTTGCACCTTAAAATCTATGAGGAAGATATGCATTATTTCCCCTGCAATTTCGATTTCTCAACATCCTTTGTGTGGAACATTTACCCGTTGATCACATATCCAATGTAGGACAATGCATTCAAGTGCCCACCCTTACTAATAAGTGATGATATTATGTCAAAGAGAAAGAAAGTGATGAATGATGGTATTCTAGTGTGGTTGAGTTCATACTAAATGTATGGACTCTAACAAACAACCAATTAAAACATGACCTCTAATATGGACATTTAATTAAATGCTTAT